AATTAATAAAATCATGAATGATAAAGGAGAGATCACTACCAACACCAAGGAAATACAAATGATTTTAAAACCATATTATGAACAGCTCTACGCCAATAAATAAGGCAACCTAGAAGAAATGGACGCATTCCTGGAAAGCCAAAAACTACCAAAACTGGAACAGGAAGAAATAGAAAACCTGAACAGGCAAATAACCAGGGAGGTAATTGAAGCGGTCATCAAAAACCTCCCAAGACACAAAAGCCCAGGGCCAGATGGCTTCCCAGGGGAATTCTATCAAACGTTTAAAGAAGAAACCATACCTATTCTACTAAAGCTGTTTGGAAAGAAGAAGAAATTCGTTCTATAAGGCCAGCATCACCTTAATTCCAAAACAGGACAAAGACCCCGACCAAAAAGGAGAATTATAGACCAATATCCCTGATGAACATGGATGCAAAAATTCTCGACAAGATACTAGCCAATAGGATCCAACAACACATTAAGAAAATTATTCACCATGACCAAGTAGGATTTATCCCCGGGACACAAGGCTGGTTCAACACTTGTAAAGCAATCCATGTGATTCATCATATCAGCAAGAGAAAAACCAAGAACCATATGATCCTCTCAGTAGATGCAGAGAAAGCATTTGACAAAATACAGCATCCATTCCTGATTGAAATTCTTCAGAGTGTAGGGATAGAGGGAACTTTCCTCGACATCTTAAAAGCCATCTACGAAAAGCCCACAGCAAATATCATTCTCAATGGGGAAGCACTTGGGAGCCTTTCCCCTAAGATCAGGAACAAGACAGGGATGTCCACTCTCACCACTGCTATTCAACATAGTACTGCATGCCCTAGCCTCAGCAATCAGACTAAAAAAAAGACATTAAAGGCATTCAAATTGGCAAAGAAGAAGTCAAACTCTCCCTCTTTGCCGATGACACGATACTCTACATAGAAAACCCAAAAGCCTCCACCCCAAGATTGCTAGAACTCATTCAGCAATACGGCAGTGTGGCAGGATACAAAATCAATGCCCAGAAATCAATGGCATTTCTCTACACTAACAATGAGACTGAAGAAAGAGAAATTAAGGAGTCAATCCCATTTACAATTGCACCCAAAAGCATAAGATACCTAGGAATAAACCTAACCAAAGAGGTAAAGGATCTATACCCTAAAAACTATAGAACACTTCTGAAAGAAATTGAGGAAGACACAAAGAGATGGAAAAATATTCCATGCTCATGGATTGGCAGAATTAATATTGTGAAAATGTCAATGTTACCCAGGGAAATTTACACGTTTAATGCAATCCCTATCAAAATACCATGGACTTTCTTCAGAGACTTAGAACAAATTATTTTAAGATTTGTGTGGAATCAGAAAAGACCCCGAATAGCCAGGGGAATTTTAAAAAAGAAAACCATATCTGGGGGCATCACAATGCCAGATTTCAGGTTGTACTACAAAGCTGTGGTCATCAAGACAGTGTGGTACTGGCACAAAAACAGACACATAGATCAATGGAACAGAATAGAGAACCCAGAAGTGGACCCTGAACTTTATGGTCAACTAATATTCGACAAAGGAGGAAAGACTCTCCACTGGAAGAAAGACAGTCTCTTCAATAAATGGTGCTGGAAAAATTGGACATCCACATGCAGAAGAATGAAATTAGACCACTCTCTTTCACCATACACAAAGATAAACTCAAAATGGATGAAAAATATAAATGTGAGACAAGATTCCATCAAAATCCTAGAGGAGAACACAGGCAACACCCTTTTTGAACTTGGCCACAGTAACTTCTTGCAAGATACATCCAGGAAGGCTAAAGAAACAAAAGCAAAAATGAACTATTGGGACTTCATCAAGATAAGAAGCTTTTGCACAGCAAAGGATACAGTCAACAGAACTCAAAGACAACCTACAGAATGGGAGAAGATCTTTGCAAATGACGTATCTGATAAAGGGCTAGTTTCCAAGATCTATAAAGAACTTACTAAACTCAACAGCAAAGAAACAAACAATCCAATCATGAAATGGGCAAAAGACATGAAGAGAAATCTCACAGAGGAAGACATAGACATGGCCAACACGCACATGAGAAAATGCTCTGCATCACTTGCCATCAGGGAAATACAAATCAAAACCTCAATGAGATACCACCTCACACCAGTGAGAATGGGGAACATTAACAAGGCAGGAAACCACAAATGTTGGAGAGGATGCGGAGAAAAGGGAACCCTCTTACACTGTTGGTGGGAATGTGAACTGGTGCAGCCACTCTGGAAAACTGTGTGGAGGGTCCTCAAAGGGTTAAAAATAGACCTGCCCTATGACCCAGCAATTGCACTGCTGGGGATTTACCCCAAAGATTCAGATGCAATGAAACGCTGGGACACCTGCACCCCAATATTTCTAGCAGCCATGTCCACAATAGCCAAACTGTGGAAGGAGCCTCGGTGTCCATCGAAAGATGAATGGATAAAGAAGATGTGGTCTATGTATACAATGGAATATTCCTCAGCCATTAGAAACGACAAATATTCACCATTTGCTTCAACGTGGATGGAACTGGAGAGTATTATGCTGAGTGAAGTAAGTCAATCGGAGAAGGACAAACAGTATATGTTCTCATTCATTTGGGGAATATAAATAATAGTGAAAGGGAATATAAGGGAAGGGAGAAGATAAAGACTCCAACTCGGTGAAATGAACTAGGGGTGGTGGAAGGGGAGGAGGGCGGGAGGTGGGGGTGAATGGATGACGGGCACTGAGGGGGGCACTTGACGGGATGAGCACTGGATGTTATTCTGTATGTTGGTAAATTGAACACCAATAAAAAATTAATTTATTTTTTAAAAAAAGAAGAATATAAGAAATAGTGCAGAGGACCATAAGGGAAGGAGGAGAAACTGATTGGGGAAAAATCAGAGGTGAAGACAAACCATGAGAGGCTCTTAACTCTGGGAAACAAACTGAAGGCTGCTGAAGCAGTGGAGGGTGGGGGGGATGGGAATACTGAGTGATGGACATTAAAGAAGGCAAGTGATGTGCTGATCACTGGGTGTTACACGCAACTGATGAGTTATTGCAAACTGCATCTGAAACTAATGATATACTTTATCTTCACAAATTGAATTTAAATAAAAAGAAAGGATTATGTTGCATGAAAGGAGCCAAAAATAAAATATATTATTTTTTGCTGTATGATTCCATTTGTAAAAGTTCAAACAGGCCAAACTCTGCCAAGATGGTAGGATCTGGAAAGAAGCTCCTCACCTTTGACATGGAGGTGAGAGTTGCCATTTCATAGGTTGTTGTGATAACCAAATAAGAAAGTGAGGACACTCAGCCATTAGAAAGGACGAATACCAACCATTTGCTTCAACGTGGATGGAATTGGAGGGTATTATGCTGAGTGAAGTAAGTCAATCAGAGAAGGACAAACATTATATGGTTTCACTCATACAGGGAATATAAGAAATAGTGAAAAGGATTATAAGGAAAAGGAGGGGGAATGAGTGGGAAAAATTAGAGAGGGTGACAAAACATGAGAGACTCCTTACTCTGGGAAACAATAAAGGGTAGTAGAAGGGGTGGTAGGCAAGGGGGATAGGGTAACTTGGTGATGGGCACTGAGGAGGGCACTTGACGGAATGAGCACTGGGTGTTACACTATATGTTGGCAAATCGAACTTCAATAAAAAGAAAAAAGAAAAGAAAGTAAGGACAGCATGCCCATGAAAGACACCCACTCAACCCTCAATGACATTAGATTTGCAGAACTGGATGTTGCTGGCTTCTCTCTCGCATGAGAAATCCACCACTTTTACCACTGCACCTCCACTTTCCCTTCTCTCTTAAGCCATTCAGGTGAATTTGAGGTTCATATTTGTGTGTTTACTCTTCCCCTTTGGAAATCATCTCTCAAGTTTCCATTATAAGTGTGCTGGTGGGTCTGGTCCCTGAGGAGGTTCTCAGCCTTCATCTGCTCCCCTTTTCTGGTCCAGTGTATACCTATTTTGCTCAACTATGAGTCACATGAGGGAAGACACTGTCTCATTCCTCCAGCAGTGAGCACATGGGAGGCTCGGGAACTCTCTGTGAAATAAAGAGTTCGTACAGCTAGTCCAGACTGCTGTCCTTGGAAAGGCCCACTTGTAAAGTTGGCCTTGGTTGGAGCTTGGGAACTTAGATTGCCAACAGTTCCCTACACTGATACAATCCTGTCCCTAAGTGATGAGAGGACCTCATTGTGTCTATACTGTTTATACAGTGTGATTTATGCTGAATACCTGCTTTCCGTCTGGGAGCCTAAAGATTGGACATATCCTAGGCAGAGGGTTGCCTAGTGCAGCTCCAGGGAAAACCTGTGGCATTGAATCTCTAAAGAGCTTCTCTGGGAAACATATTTCAACGTGTTATCACAACTCACTGCTGGGGAACTAAGTGCACCAGGAAAGCACTCTGGAAACCTACACCTAGTTCCCTGAAACTTCTCCACATTAGCCTTTTTCTTTTGTTGATTTTGTCTTGTACCTTTTCACTGTAATTAAGGCACAGCTGCGAGTACAACTAACTGCGCTGAAATCCTGAGGGTCCCTCTACTGAGTTTCTGGACTGATGAACTTGGGGACCTCAGCCACACTCACAAAAATGTGTGAGTCACAGAGAATATGGGGAAGAAACAGAGCCCCTGGAAGCTCAGGCCAGAGGTCCGAATGTACCTGAAACTAAGCGCCTCAGAGACATGCCCTGAAGTAGAAGAACTATGAGTTTCCTCCAAAGAGTTGATATCCTTCTGTTCAAATTGCATCAGCCCCCTGAGTGAGTGTGTGAGTGTGTACATGAATGTATGTGAGTGCATATGTGAGTGTGCATGTGTGCATGAGTGAGAGCAGGTGTGTGGAGACCTTGCCAAGAGGAATGAGGCCTTGCAGAAGTCTAATAGAAAGTGCACAGTTGGCATCTAAGTTTTCATCAAAGATCTTTGCACTAATGCATTCAAGCCTCCAGACAAGAATTATTCCAGAGTTGGTAATAGTTCATCCAGGGCACAGTGTACATCAAAAAGTCACAAATGAAACTCTGTGGAAAGAGAAAGAAAACAGTTCTCAGGGAAATATTTTTGAAGATGAACAAAAGGCTCTTGCCCCCCAACAAGCCTTTGTCTGGGAAATCTGGACCAGTCACTGTGTCTGGATAACGACCACATGGGTGGGGAGGGGAATCTGCTCATAGTCACATGATGGGGGTGGGGTGGGGCCAACCTGAACAGGGATGTCACCCTGGGCGCCCCCTACTCAGTCACTTAGGATGTGGAACAGGTGCACCTGGAGCCCATAGCCCAGCGGGACACTGGGATGAAGTCCGGGCAGGACAGCCTGGGACAGAGGCATTGCCCGCTACCTCAAGTCCTTTTGCTTCTGGTAGACTTTGTGTCTGCCAGCTTCTGGGTGGCAGCACCAGGAGGGACTGGGAAAAGCCAGAAAACATAGGCAGAGGTTGGAAGACAAAAAGGAAACTAGACAATCCCCAAGGACCTTGAGAGCATGAGCTGAGATCAGAGTGAAGCCCAAGGGAAAGTAAACTACTTCCCACTGAGGCCTGGGGTAAAACTGCCAGGGAAGGAGACTGGAGGACTGTGGCCAGAGCTATGACAGCTCAGGGTAGAGAGACTGCCTAATTAGAGAGCCTTCCCCCCACTTCTGGGTACCTCTAATGGCACCAGGCAGCTCTAAAGCCCATATCCACACAGCTAGAAAAATTGTCAATGTCCAGTTTTGGTCTACTTTTTAAAAGTTTACTTTTCCCTGTTTGATCACAAGTCCCGACTCAAGTGACTGCCACCACACACCTTTTTCAGCTTGTTTTTGCTTTGAATGAGGCATGAATTTTTTGTTGTGCTATTCCTCTTGCATTTGGTCCGGCTAATCTTCACAGTTACCATATACTCCACTCCAGTCGTCAGCTACCAAGAAACAGTGGCACTGTTAGCATTAACTCCAAGTATCCAGTTGCTGACTCTCACCCGGAAAATCTAGAAGATGAAGACTAAGGAACCACAATACCTGTTCTCAGAGCTCATCCACTAAAAGCATGGCTCCCACTTTGCCTCCCAGCTGGAGAATGGACAGTGACAGTTGAGGCCACTAGTCAGTCCCCAGCATGTGCAGAGCCCTTCCCCTTGGTCTGGACTAGCTTCATTTCTGCAAGCCATAGATGGCTTCTCACCCATCTCCCTTCCATACTCAGGATGAAGGATTGGCAAATCATGGAACCGGCAGCCCCCGGATACCCTATATCTGTACACATAATCCTCAGAATGTATAGGGGTGCATCCTGTCCCTCAACTTCATCCATGTCCTCCCTCCCTACTCTCCTTCCCAACCAACCTGATGGAAAGCAGTTTACCAACACAGCTAAAAAAACACAGGCTTAGAAACTGAATTGCTTTGGGGCATTCATTTCCCTTCTACTAACACTGAGCCCTAGAGCAAATCCCCGGCAATCTCCTTTTCTTCAACTACAGAGTTGTGGGCGCTTGACGAGATGAGCACTGGGTGTTATTCTGTATGTTGGCAAATTGAACACCAATAAAAAATAAATTTATAAAAAAAAATACAGAGTCCAGATAACAATTGTACCTGCTCAAGGAGTTGTTCATGGGCTAAATAGAAGCAGGCATCTCACTAAAGCAAATTTTAAAATAACTTATTATGAATTATTAAATGTTTTAGCAAAATGTGGGGAACATCACTCTGAAGCAGATATGGAGTCAGGAAAGCAACAGAGCAGAAGACAGAAGAATTGTGCTCGAGTTCTGGCTTTTTCCCCTGCCAACTCTATCTCCTTGGCTAAGCCCTGCCACCTCTCTGACTCAGTTTCCTCATCTAGAGAATGGGGAGACTAGTGCCAATTTCCTCCTGGGGTGTATGCAAACAGTGAATGCATAAACCATGGAGAACCTACACCAAAGCAATTCCAGGCTGTTGGGATCTGTCTTCCTGTGCTCATGTTCAAGTGCCAGGCTCTGAGGACTCTAAGGGCAGGAAAGCTCTTTGTAGCAGGGGGGATCCACACCTTCAAGTGAAACTCCAGCAAATGCTTTGATGATTCTGTTGGAAACAGCTGGGTCCCTCAAGTCGACATGAAGGAGGGGAGGGGAGAAGCTCCTGGAAGTGCCCTACTTCCTTGTCCCAATGTCAGATAAAACCAAAGGCAAAGGCTTGATACTCTCCCTAGTAGCAAAGCAGTAGAGGGAGAGAGTGCCCACATTGCCCCCTGGAGGAAAATGCCCCCAGAAAAGCTCAGGGTGGTTGCAGGGGAAGGAAGCCTGAGGGCTGTATCACCATCCTGGTCCCAGCATCCGCCACCTGAAGAACCTCAGGATGCAGGGCTCCAAGCTCTTCATCAAAGGAGAGTTACATCCAGGCATTGGCATCTTACAGGGCTTTCACACTGACCTTCAGCACACTCCATAGGTATGAAAAATCGAAAACACTATAATTCCAGTGCGCAAAGTGTTTGCTTATTCATTATTAGACTGGATTGCTAGATAGTAAGAGGAATCATCATAGTAACACAAATATTTTCCCTAGTACTGCTTCACTGTTATTCTGCCCACTTGGTGGTAAGGAAACAGGCCTGGATGGCTCTTGACATAGATCTCACAATTAAAGAGACCTGGAACCTGGGTGCAGCAGCCTGTCAGGCCCACCTCCTACACCCCTCTGTGAGGTGTTGACGGACACAACCACTTGGCAAAAGGACCCTTACTTCAGGTCACCCAGCCACCCAGAGTCACACACATTCTGTGCTTTTACCCATTTGAATGACAACAAAAGCTCATTCATAAACTATTCTTTTAGAGTTAACTGTGAATGATTATAGACTGATTCTACAAGACATGTCTCCTGGGATTCTCAGATTCACCTTTGGGAGCACTAACCTGGGAGAACAGAGCAACTTGGCAAGAACTTTGGTTGACAGCCGCCACCTCGTGGCCAAGTCACCTCAGTGTCCCTGGGCCTGATGGGCCTCCATCTTGGGACAAGAGTATGTGATGGAGCCGGGGACAGGCTGATCTCCACACACTGTGATGTCAGGCCTGCTTTGTGTCACACTAACATTGCCTGCTCCTCTCTACTCCCCACCCTTGCTGGTTTCTCCTGTTCCCACTGCCTCCCTCTCTCCATCAGAGATCTTTTCTCCTGTCAATTGTGGTTTGTTGTTTTTTCCAAATCAGGTTAATTGAACTAAAACGTGCTATTGCCTCTGACCTAACTTAGATATAGTTTACTAGGTAAGCTTGTGGGGAAGCTGGACCCACAACAGTAGTTTTCAAACAACTTTTCTTTCCTCCGTTGTCCTCAACTGATTCATTTCAGAGAAACTTTGTATGTAAAACACGTAAAAGAGATAATCTGGTTGAAGTCTGTTTCTCACTCCCTTCTCCCCTCTGCCCAAATAAACCCCTGTGCAATTCCAGATTCCTGTATAATACAGCTAGAAAGTCCAGACTTTACATCCCTGGACATTGAAAAATTATGTCAAGTGGGAATCCATAGAGAACATTTGTATTTTGCCAAAGCAAACCATTTAAGGAAACAAAATCATTCTCATTTGTTGTCACTCCGGTAGGACTAATTTCAGAACAAAAGGCAATTCTTCCCAAGAAATAACAGTTGAGAAACTCAGAGGCTATGTTTCTTTCAGACAAAGAGTAACACGGTTAGGGTTTCATTCCTGTCATTGGGCTAGCATTTCAGAAGCATAGCTAAGGAAGTCTGGAGTCCAAACCATCCAAAGCAGGCTCATCCCAAGTGAAGCCTCCCCCCAGTTGTGAAACCATCACTTGGTTCTCTCTGGGAACCATACCATATTCCTGCATGTCCAAGTGGGTACTGCCCACATCCAGAGAAACTGAGGCACAAACCTGCATCTGACTTTGAAGTAGCTTGTCGACTTGAAATAAGTAGGTGTCATTGCTAGCATTGTTGTATTTTTCAATGAAGAATTGGAGTGTTGAATTCATGTTTGTCTCACTCGTGGACTTCTCCTGAAAGCCTTCCCACCTTTGAAAATGACCTAGCCTGGCTGCCAGGACCAGGACAGCCAACAGCAACAGAGGGTTCCTACAGCATCCAACTCCCATCTTGCAGCCTCGAAAACCTCCTCCACTGCACCTGCCAGGACAGGATTGGGACCACACTGCAGCTCATTCACCCTCTGCAGTGGCCCTTGCCCAATGGGCTTGCCCAGGTTAGGCAGAGATTGAGACCCCAGACTCATCCTTTGAAGGATCTGCCCACAATTTGAAGAACCAACCCAGGAAATCTCAACTCAGGTTGAGCTCAACTCTTTCAGGTCCACACATTTTCCAATTTTATGATACCCACTTGATTCTTAGATTATCCAGGCAAGCATGATTTCTAAACACCTGCCAAGATGGCAACCTCTTCCTGCCTTCATATCTATCAAGGAGAAAGTCCCCAGAACAGAGCTTTATAGTGCTATGCATAAGTATATTGGACAAAGAAGTGCCATTTGCCATTTGTGGGAATTGGGGAAGGCTTATGGAGAAGGTATTAGCTGAACTGGGATATAAAGGAATCAGGGACATGGACAGGGCTGATACATTCTACTTACCTATTGTGGGTTCTACCTGTCTAACCCAGCCATCAACTATTCCCTGTTCCTCCTTTAAAGATAGGTTCTCTATGCACCTGCCACCTTTTGCACCACAGATTTCTGCCTGCTGGATCCCACTGTACCTGCAGGCCCTGGCAGTAGCTCTTGCTATTTTGGTGTGACCCCAGCAGACCTTTGTGAGGTAATATAAGCCTCTCTGTGAAGGGGAGGTGAATAAACTCTGATCCTCACTCAGAAATTAATCCTGAAGACCTCTGAAGGTTAGGTGCTGCTTATCTTGGGCAGGAAAAATTCTCCCCAACCCTCTTTGGGTCTCTGGCTCAGCCTAAGAATTAAACTAACAGGAGAAAAGTATACAGGTTTTATTGATGTTTTATATATGGATGGGATCCTTCACAAGAGAATGAAGATGTGTCTAGCACAAGAAGCTTATTAACCTTGTAGACAAAGAAACAATAAATGTGTGAAGAATTGACAAGACAACTGGGTTTTGACTATGGGTAATAAATGGTGAAGAAGTAGTAAGGTTTGATTATACAGCTTTATCCCCCATCTCTGGGGATAAAATGTTGTCCCCCATCCTCCTGGTACATGGAAAGTACCTTTCGCATGGGAGATTTGTCTTGTGTTTTCAGGGAAGAAGGGCTCAGGTTGGGAGGGTCGGTGATCAGAGTGCCCTTCCAACTTCACAGTTTTCTCAAACTCCTCTGGCTTAAGATCTTCAATGTGCTAAGGTGACATATTTAGGGGTAGCCTGTCCTGAATTCATCATCTGCACCCAGAAGCCTATAATAGCTCCCCATTTTAAAAACTTTTGTTAAAGTGGGATCCTAAATGGGGTCCCACAACAGAAAAAAAGTTAGTGGGACAATTAATGAAATGTGAATCAAGTCTATAAATCAGTTCATAGCACTGCACCAATGTTAATTTCTTAATTTTTTCTATTGCGCTGTAATTACATGAGATGCTAACATTTGGGAAAGTGGGGTGAATATTTGATGCTATTTTTGTAGCCTTTTTTTGTAAGTCTGAAATGATTTCAAAATAAAGGTTAATTTTAAAAGACATTTATTTAAATTCAATTTAGTTAACATTACTGGGTTACTAGTTTCAGGGATAGAATTTAGTTATTCAGGGATCCCTGGGTGGCGCAGCGGTTTGGCGCCTGCCTTTGGCCCAGGGCGCGATCCTGGAGACCCGGGATCGAATCCCACGTCGGGCTCCCGGTACATGGAGCCTGCTTCTCCCTCTGCCTGTGTCTCTGCCTCTCTCTCTCTCTCTGTATGACTATTGTAAATAAATTTAAAAAAATTAAAAAAAAAGAATTTAGTGATTCATCAGTTGCATACAACACTCAATGCTCATTAATTCATGTGCCCTTCTTAGTGCATCACCCAATTACCCCATCCCCCCACCTACCTCCCCTCCAGGAGCCCTCAATTTGTTTCCTAGAGTTAAGAGTCTCTTATGGTTTTCTTCCTCTCTGTTTTCATCTTATTTTATTTTTCCTTCCCTTCTTCTATGTTCATCTGTTTTGTCTCTTAAATTCCACAAAATAAAAGTCAAAATGTTCAAAAATAAATAGGAAGCAGCACACATGCAGCACCACCTCGCAATCCAACTCTCCCAGGTTCAGATCTCTTGCTGGGTGACTCTGAGAGAGACAGTTCATCTCTGAGGCTCAGTTTCTTCATCTATAATATAAGAATGGGAAAAACTACTAATCTTAGTTTGTGGTGGAAACTAAATTCATGTGCCAAACAACCTGTTCCCAGGTCAGGCATCGGTCAGTGCTCAGAAACATCCTCTGGGTGATTCTTTCAAGACTCTGAACCCACATGCTGAAGCCTGTGTTCTGTCAGACCCCAGGCCTCCCTCCAGTGTGAAAATCCTATTAGGACCTGTCCCTCAGAACTTGCCTGTAGAATTTGTCCAGCTGATGGAAGTGGCTACTTTGGAACACCCTGAGCTAGAGCTGCAGGAACATCATTGTCAAATAGATACATAAGGATTTGGAGTAAGGTGTTCGGATTGCCCTGGAAACCTGGGAGATACCCATTGGACTGGGAACCTAAGGAAGGAAAAGTAACATTCAGTGGACCATGTTAGAAAATCTATGAGCATAGGCCTAAATACATTTTTAAAATTGATCTACCTAAAGAAATATGCACCTTGGCTATGTCCATAAATAAGGGAAAAATGAGTCCCCAGTAATTTCCATGGAATAAGAAAAAAGTGCAGAACATTAAACTTCTTCTCTTTGTCCTTCTTTTCTGTCTTTTTGTCTCCAATCTCTCTCTCCCTCCTCTAAGAATACCAGTCATTGAATTAGGAACCTACCCTAGATCCAATGTGATCTCATCTCAGGACCCTTTATTAGGTTTGCAAAGACTCTGTATCCAAATAAGTTCACATTCATGGGTACTAGGGGCTAGAACTTGTGCATATATTTTGGGGAAACACAATTCAACCCACTAAATTGTTCACAGAATAGGAAGAAAATTGGGACCATAGATATGTCCATGTGCACCAGTTTCCAATGGTTTTGTAATAAATTAACATGAACTTAGTGGCTTAAAACAACAGAAATGTATTGTCTAACAGTTCTGGAGGCCAGGAATCTGAAGTCATTTTCACAAGACCCAAATCAAGGTGTTGGCAGGGCTGTACTCCCTCCAGAGGCTCTGGGGAGAAATCTACTGGCTGCCAGCATTCCTTGGCTTGTGGCCACACCACTCTAATCTCTGCTTTTGTGGGCATATGCCCTTCTTCTCTTCTGTCTGCCTCCCTCCTGTAAGGATATATGGATGGCATTTGAAACCCATCTGCAAAATCCAGAATGATATGCACATCTCAAGATCTTGAACTTAATCACATCTATAAATTCCTTCTTTACCACAAGACAATGCTCAAAAGTTCTGGGGTGGAGGGGTGGCATTATTTAGCCTACCACACTGTGAATTAAAGGAAAAGAGGAAGTATTGATTATGTTCATAGAAGGAGGGGGGACAGGAGCCCTGGTCATGTCCCTGGAGAAGGAAAGAAGGAAAATAAACCCATCCATGGAAATGGGGGGAAAGAGGAGGCCTCGTCAATTCCATGCTTAAGGGGGAAACATGTGTCCCAGTTATGTCTGTGTAATAAGTGAGAAATAGGAGACCTGATAATATCCATGGGGTAAAATGAAGATAGGTATCAGCAATATATTCATGAATCAGAAGAAAAATACAGGAGGATGGCTGATTTCCATAGATTGAGGGGGAAATGGTGGTTTTGGTTATGTCCATGGAATGAAGAGAAAATAGGATTCCGGTAATGTTTGTGGTACAAGGGGCTTGGTTAAAATCATGGAATAAAGACAAAATGAATGGCCTGGTTATAGTCAGAATAAATTACAAGAAAAGGCAATAATACAATGCCCATAAAATGTGGAGGATGAGAACAGGCAACCCTGATCGTGTCCATGGAATATGGTGAAAATAAGGGGCCTGGCAATATCCATGAACTAAGAGAAAAACGTTGAGCCTGATAAAATCCAAAGAAAGGGAAAATATTAAACCTGATTATTCCCACAGAATAAGGAGAAAATACAGTGCTGGGTGTGTCCTGGTAATTTAGGCAAAGTAGAGGACCCAGTTATGTCAGCAGAATAAAGTGATAAGCAGAGTGCCTTGGTCATATCTACGGAATGAAAGGAAAATAAGCAGCCCCATCATGTCCATAGAAAAAGAAATAGAGACTACGAATATTTCCAGGTAGTAAGGGGAATATAGGGACCCTGGTCATGACCATGGAATGTGTGAAAAACCTCTAGTTGTGTACACAAAAGAAGAGAAAACAGGGGACCTGATATGTCCATGCACAAAGAAGAAAATAAGAAGCCTAATAGTAACCATGAAATAAGGAAAAGCATGAGGTCTGATTGCTTCCCATGGAATAAAGGGAAAATAGAAGCCCTAGAGGTTCAGGAATAAAAAGAAAATTGGAAACATGGCCATGTCTATGGAATAAGGGGGAAAACATGTGGCCTGGTTAAATCTATGGAAGATATGGGAAGGATGATTATATCCATTTAATAGGGCATACAGGGAGCCTGATCATGCCCAGGGAATTAGTGGAAAGCAGGGTCTCTGGATATTTCCATGGAGAAAGGGAAAGTAGGTAAAAAGGAAAAACTTAGCTTCCCACCTGCATAGGGAAAAACCCCAGCTCTTCCTACGTTCTTTCTCTCTTGTGAGTCTCCTGTCTTGCAAAACATACTTTCTGACACTTCTGGCTACCAAATATGTGGGTTTTTCCCCACGAGCAATTCTCTCCAACACCAGTACCTAGGGATAGCATCAGACCCCACAGATGAAAGGCTTAGTACTACAAGATTGCCCCACCATCACCACCTTCAGATGTCAAGTGTAAGTCCAGGTGGTCAGCTATTCTCATGACCAACTGGTTATAAATCCACGGTTCTCATGACCCCCTTTCTGGGTTCAATTAATTTGCTAGAGT